CAGTTTTCTCTGTCCATGTGTTGGTTTATATTCCACATATGAGTGAGATCATACAGTGTTTGTCTTTCTCCTTCTGGCTTATTTCACTTAACATAATACGCTCCAGGCCCATCCATGTTGTTGCAAATGGGACGATTTTGTCTTTTTTTATGGCTGAGTAGTATTCCATTGTATATATAACACTCATTGATTTTTAAAAATTCTTATGGCCGATAGATTGAGAGGTGGATGACATCATTTTTAGTGATCTTTAAGAGCATCAGATAAATTATAAAACAGACTCTAGCTCTCAGCACATTTCTGAGCAAGACCAAAGAAGAGGTATAATGACTGCACGACATCAGCACGGTATGCATTCAAGGGCGGCCGGGTGCTTAGCTGGGCATAGCCTGCCCAGGCTGTATCTCCTGTCCATCACAGCGAGGGGCTCACCCTCAAACATGGCAAGGGACAGGAGCAGCAAATAAATCTAATGATGTCAGGCCACGTCTTCCATCACCTCTGTATCCCACCCACAGAGCGCAGCCCGCCCAGTGGGACTTAACGATGCCTATGGACACGCTCTTTTCCTTTTGTGATTAGCAAAACCTAACAGTGCTGTTTCCAGACAACTTTCTGTGATGATGGAGATGTTCTTGCTGCACTGCCCAATACAGTAGCAACCAGAAGCACGTGGCTACTGAGAAGCTGAAACGGGGCTAGTGTGACTGAGGAATGGAAGTTTCCCTCGTATTTAATCCTAATTAATTTAAATTTAAATAGCCACATATGGCTAATAGCTGCCATACCAGACAGCACAGTGCTAGAAAATAATAACAATTGCAAATTGGCCCGCTAACTCATCTTTAGAAAGGTTTCATCATTATTCCCATTCCCCATATGAGCATATTGAGGCTCACAGGATTAAGCAACTTGCCCATCATCAGAAAGCTAGTAAATGGCAGAGAAGAATTCACACTCAGCCTGTCCAACCCAACCTCTGCTCCTGCAGTGACATCAAACTGCAATCCCCCTTCTTCACGTAAAAGAAGACTTAAAGGCAGCAGCAGCCTCTGAAAACTCCACATTCTCCTTAAAGAGCCGTGAAAGGAAGCCGGCCACATGTGGCATGACTTCTTTCAACAAAAACACACAGGAAAAAATTCTTCTCCAGCTATGACTGCCTAAGTTGAATCTTTCAAACGACATGTTGATTCTAAGTCTATCCGACAGCCCCTCCAAGGTGTTCTAAAACTTTTGCTCTAATCAAATATCAGCCACATGAATTCACAAGAAGGGAACAATATGAAAAAGACTTCATTAAACTCCTGCCACATCCTATTATGCTGTCTAAGCATTATTCTATCCCACTTAACCTTTGCTGACAAACCAGATTATATTTTCTTTCCTAAATCAATAGGATCCTATAAAACTGCACGAAGGATAAAGAACCTAGGATTTCAAGACTGATTTGGGAATAAAGAGTGTCAAAGGCATGACTTTAAAGGGGAGGGCGTGTACACTCAAGGAAAATAATACACAGAGTTGTATTATAAATTTTGTCTTGAATTCTATGTAAAATATTTCACATTATCACAATACCAGAAACCCACTCCAAAATCTGCAAGCCTGAGTTCAGATACTTGTGTGTCCTGTATCCATAACCAAACCAGTGTTACCTCCATAAACCTCTCCTTCATTCACGGGGACCAACCGGGCACCCAAGTTAAGGTGCAGGGTTGCAAATTCACTGAAATTAGGATAGGAGAACATTACAGGTTTTTGTGGACAAAACTAACATCCTTTGGTTCTATTACTGCTTTCATATTGCCAAGGGGATCTAAGATATTCCTTAATAATATGCTGCTCAGGTAAAATCAAAGAAATAATGGGGTGACAAGCCAAAACATAGGTAAAGAAATGGGGTAAGACCACAAATATTGAAGATCAAAGCTTGGCTGCAAAAAAATATAATAAGCCAAGTGCGAGGATCCTGTTATATAAAATCCATTTTTGGATTAAAGCTTGGGGACCTTGGTCGAGGAAGCTGTACAAGGTCCCAGAATTAGTCTCATCAAAGCCTAGACCTACTGTCTTACAACACACGGCACTATCCTACGGTCGCAAATTCAGCTTCTCAGTCTGGCATCACGTCAGCAACGTGCGAGGGAGTGGGTGGCGGATCAGACATGGCCGAGGTGGGGCCTGTGCCCTCCCCATGAATCTGGTGGGCCCTTGACTGCTCTGACCCACAAAACACAGCACGTGACACTGTACAAGTCTCCAGGCCTCAGCCTTAAGAAACTGGCAGCTTCTATTTCCTGTCTTTTGGAACACTTGCCAGAAGCCTTGAGCTTCCATTTAAGAAGTCCAACTACCTTGACATCACCACGTGAGAGACTACGTGCGGGCACAGGGTCAACAGGCCCGGCTGAGTCCAGCCTCCCAGCCCTCCCTTCCAAGGGGCCAACCACGGGAGTGAAGTGAGCCCCACCACCGAGAGACCCCCCACGGATGCCTGTGGAACGGAAGAATTACCCAGCCAAGCCCGTCCAGACCCTCCAAATCATGAGAAATAATAAAGTAGTTCTTGTTGCACACCTCGAAATTTTGGGGTTGTTTGTTATACAGCAATAGATAACTGGAACATAATGTGTATGTTTTCTTCAGCTCGTCTATTCTCCAAAACCATTAAGTAATTGCTCTTGTTATATTACATGACCATATATTTATTAAATATTAAGCCTGACCCTGCCTAACCACTCAACCATCAATTTTCAATATAGACCTACCAATGAAGCCAGAAGATGGTGGGTTGGGCTGAATCTTCTCCTTGGTGTTCTCCTGGATAAAGTCCCAAAGCTGCCATATAAATTTAGGATGAAGAATGTAAAATGGCTGATTTGGGTTTCTCTGACGATGTTGAACATATGGAGTGAACAGGTTGTAATCTGGCTTCTTGTACCACTAAGAGAGAAAAAAAATCAACACAATCAAGAACAGAGGACCGCAGTGTGAAAAGGAAACCAGGCAGCACCCAGGCCGGTGGGGGGTGGGTTTAGAGGCTGAGGGGCCAGGTGGGCTCGAGGGGGAGGGGAAGGTGATGATTCATCACTTCTAGAGGCACTTCCTCACTGGATCAGGGACTGAGGACAAAGAGGCACCAGGGCTCTAGCCCTGAGGGACTGATGTGTTATCCTTCAGTAAAACAAGGGAGATGGCAGGGCAGGGGTCAGCAGATGTTTCTGTAAAGGGCCACACAGTAACCACTTGAGGCTTTTTGGGCCACACAGTCTCTGCTGCAACTACTGTACTCAATTCTGCCACTGTTCTGCGAAAGTAGCCACATACATAATGATACATAATAAACGGGCACGGCTGTGTTCCAATAAAACTTTATTTACAAAAATAGGGCCAGATTTGGCCCAGGACTGTAGTTTGCTGACCCCTGGGCTCAATCAGTGTATTTAAAAAATATGTTTTCCAAATGTAACCTATAGTGACAGAAAGCGTATCAGCTATTGCCTAGGTCTGGGGTTGGGGCTGGGAAGACTGACAGGGGAGGCACAAGGGAACTCTCTGGAGTGACGGAAATGTTCTATTTCTTAATTGCAGTGGTAGATACATGACTATACTGAAATTGCTAATACTCATAAAACGTACACTTACATTGATTGTACATAAATTATTACATGCAAAAATAAACAATAGATTGATTTTTAAAAAAAATATTTTCAGAAGTCTCTCAGATGCCACCATGAAATGGGATTTGGAGAAGGTGCGTGGGGGACAGGCTTAGCTCACAGGGCTCTGAGGGCCCCACGATCCCTTTAAACAGACACCTTGCATAAATAGGGGGTATATATTAAGACCCCAAATAAAATTCCATGGTTGAAATGGGTTCTGTGGGTTTAAAAATTTTGAAAAGGACTAGGCCAGATCATCTCTAGTAAACTATGCCCCAAGCAATGAGGCAGGGAGAGGGAAGCAAGAGGAATGTGGGACCATCAGTCAGTTCTTTACCCTCCTCCTCCTGGCCCTTACATGGCAGTATCAGAGCACAGGCCCCACAGAAAGCAGCCTGGTGCCTGGATATCAGCACTGTCGCTGCCCACAGCCATCGAGTTGGATAGCTCTGTGCCCTGGGCTTGGATGCTTTCAACAAAGGAAGAAATAAGGTCTAACAGCTAGAAGCTCTCAGTACGTCCCCAAACAGCAAGAAAGCTGTCAGAACTTAAATCTAGAGAACCTCAGCCTGGGAAGGAAGCTGAAAAGTTCAAACATCCATTTGATGCCTGATTCTCAACAGGCAGCACGTATGAGAATCAACCAGAGAGCTTTCTCAAAAAACACAGCTTGAGGCTATATGCTACATTTCTGGAAATAGGGCTCTGACAGATATACTTGGAAAATATTCTCCAGGTGACGCTGATTTGCACTCTGGTTAAGAATCAGTGAGCAATTACACTAGGTAAACGTCCAGCCTCAGTCTCAAGAAGAATAGTGACAGAACGCTCCTTCCAGAGGGACCCATTCCACCTTGGGCAGCTCTCTTAGAAAGTTACCTCTTGGTAGAACCAAGATCTGTTCTCCCACATTCATCCTAAGAAGGCTGCATTCTCTTGGGTCATGGCAGAACCAGTCAAAAGACACTCACAGGCACAGCTGATAGCATCTTTCACGAGGCTAAATGATCATCCATCTTTCCCAGTGCTCTTTAAAAACCAAGTACACTGGCTTTTCATCCAAGGTTTCACCAAAAGTAACTAGCTGCTTGTTCAGAAAAGGAATGATCTGCCAGAATGTCATGAATATAACTTGCTTATATTCTGATGGCTAGTAATAATCTTGTTTACACTATATTACTGAAGATATATATCACAAAAAGGCTCAGAGGCAGAAGCCAAAGAGTGGACACTCAAGAAAAGTCTGTAACAGATGCCATTTAAATAATAATGAGCTCTTGATTCACAAAGCTTAGATTCTCTTGCCAAGCATTTCCAATTTACAGGCATACCTCGGAGATATTGTGGGTTCAGTTCCAAATCACTGCGATAAAGCAAATACCACAATAAAGGGAGTCACACAAATTTTTTGGTTTCCCAGGGCATATAAATGTTATGTTTACTGTATATGTATATGTTATGTTTAATACTGTAGTTGATTAACTGTGCAATAGCATTATGTCTAAAAAAAATGTATGTACCTTAATTAAAAAATACTTTATTGCTAAAAAATGCTAACCATCATCTGAGCCTTCCATGAGTCCTAATCTTTTTGCTGGTGGAGGATCTTGCCTTGATGTGATGGCTGCTGACTGATCAGGGTGGTGGTTGCTAAAGGTTGGGATGACTGTGACAATTTCTTAAAATAAGACAACAATGAAGTTTGCCACATCGATTGACTCTTCCTTTCACGAACAATTTCTCTGTAGCATGTGATGCTGTTTGAGAGCATTTTACCCACAGTAGGACTTCTTTCCAAATCAGATTCAATCCTCTCAAACCCTGCCACTGCTTTATCAACTAAGTTTATGTCACATTCTAAATCCTTTGTTGTCATTTCAACAGTCTTTACAGCATCTTCACCAGGAATAGATTCCATCTCAGGAAACCACTTTCTTTGCTCATCCATAAGAGGCAACTCCTCATCCGTTAAAGTTTTATCATGAGATGGCAGCAATTCAGTCACATCTTCAGGCTCCACTTCTAATTCTAGTTCTCTTGCTGTTTCCACCACATCTGTAGTTACTTCCTCCACTGAAGTTTTGAACCCCTCAAAGTCATCCATGAGGGTTGAAATCAACTTCTTCCAAACTCCTGTTAATGTTGATATTTTGACCTCTTCCCATGAATCACGAACGTTATAAATGGCATCTAGAATGGTGAATCCTTTCCAGAAGATTTTCAATTTACTTTGCTCAGATCCATCACACGACTCACTATTTACGACAGCTATAACCTTATAAAACGTATTTCTTAAATAATAAGACTTGAAAGTTGAAATTACTCCTTGATCTATGGGCTGCAGAATGTTGTGTTAGATTAATGAAAACAACATTAATCTTGCTGTACATCTCCATCCGAGCTCTTGGGTGACCAGGTATCAATGAGCATTACTGTCAATGAGCAGTAATATTTTGAAAGGAATCTTTTTTTCTGAGCAGTAGTCTCAACAGCAGGCTTAAAATATTCAGTAAACCATGTTGTAAGCAGACGTGCTGTCATCCAGGCTTGGTTGTTCCATTTATAGAGCACAGGCAGAGTAGATTTCACGTAATTCTTAAGGGCTCTAGGATTTTCGGAATGGTGAGTGAGCACTGGCTTCAACTTAAAGTCACCAACTGCATTAGCCCCTAACAAGAGTCAGCCTGTTCTTTGAAGCTTTGAAAGTAGGCACTGACTTCTCCTCTTGAGCTATGAAAGGTCTAGATGGCATCTTCTTCCCATATAAAGCTGTTTTGTATACATTGAAAATCTGTTGTTTAGTGTAGTCACCTTCATTAATTATCTTAGCCAGATCTTCTGGATAACTTGCAGGTTCTCCATCAGCACTTGCTGCTTCACCTTACACTTTTATGTTACGTAGATGGCTTCTTTCCTTAAACCTCATAACTCAACGTCGGCTAACTTCAAACTTTCTTCTGCAGCTTCCTCACCTCTCTCCACCTTCACAGAATTGAAGAGAGCTAGGGCCTTGTTCTGGATTAGGCTTTGGCTTAAGGGAATGTTGTGGCTGGTTTGATCTTCAGACCACTAAAACTTTCTCCATATCAGCAATAAGGCTGTTTCACTTTTTTTGTGTTCATTTGTTTCTTTCTGTTTCAATTGTGTGTTCACTGAAATAGCACTTTCAATTTTCTTCAAGAACTTTTCCTTTGCGTTCACAGCTTGGCTAACTTCGGCACAAGAGGCCTAGCTTTCAGCCTGTCTTGGCTTTCTACTGCCTTCCTCACTAAGCTTAATCATTTCGAGCTTTTGATTTCAAGTGAGAGACATGTGACTCTTCCTTTCACTTGAACCCTTAAAGGCCATTGTAGGGTTATTAATTGGCCTAATTTCAACATTGTTGTGTCTTAGGGAGTAGGGAGGCTCAAGGAGAGGGAGATGGAAAAATGGCCTGTCAGGGGAGCAGTCAGTACACACACAACATTTTATCAACTAAGTTTGATGTCTTATATGGGCATGGTTCATGGTGCTTCAAAACAATTACAACAGTAACATCAAAGATCACAGATCACTAGAACAAATATAATGATAAAAAACTTTAAAATATTGTAAGAATTACCAAAATGTGATACAAAGACACGAAGTGAGCAAATGCTGATGGAAAAATGGCACCAACAGACTTGCTCGATGCCGGGTTGCCACAAATCTTCAATTCGTAAAAAACTCAGTATCTTCCAAGCACAATCAAGTGAAGCACAATAAAGCGAGGTATGCCTGTATTTCAAAAGGTCTTGTCACTGCTTGGAAGGTGATGCATCCCTATCACAACGAAAAATTCTGAGTTTAATCAGCCCAACCTCTAGTGTAACTAGGAATTTCTGATCATTTAGACATCGCACAACTGTTTTGCTTTTTTAAAATCCTTCAGAGCAAAAGCCCTTTTCCCTTAGATGGATAACATTCACCAAGCATCCTACTGGAGCTAGGTATCACAATGGTATAAACACATGTATTTAAGTGACACCCACCATCAGTTTTGTTTTGTCTGTCAAAGCTTGATCCCTGACTTGCTCCCATTTTTAATCATTCAACAGCACTGTCTGATCGTTAGGGTAGAGGCCCAAAGGAAACACTTACCAGGTTAAGATTTGCAGAATAAGGAGCAGGATCCCAGGCCACCAAAATGATGTCTTTATACAATGAACTGTCAATGAAGTGATGGTTGGGGTTGGTCAAAATCTACAAATGCACAGAAAAATCATTTCAAAACAAGTGTTTGGTTATTCCAAATCATATTTTAAAAACAGATGAAAATTTAAAAAATGAATCAGAGAAAGAAAAAACAAAGTCCCTCAGACTTTATATTTTCCTCCCGAGGAGGGAGAGAGGCTGGCATCGCATGCTAAAGCACTCAAAGAAATGTTTGGGGAAATGAGGTGTTTTTTTTTTAAGCCACCAGTTCTTACATTTTCACCAGCACTGTCCTCATAACTAGTGGTATTGAATCAACTCATGGAAGCTGTCACTCCCCAGCTATTCCTGGGCCCCCGAGCTCTCCAACAATTGCCTTCCCAGGTGATTTGGAGAGAGTACCAGGCATGGATGAACCGAGGTCTGAGGTGCCTGCAGAGTGCCAGCCTCAGGACAGAGAGCCAGTGGACTCGAGTCAGCCCAGGATGGCCGTCTCCCTCTGTGGCCCTATCTGGTCCTGGATGAGTCCTTCAAACTCACCTGCCAATCATCTTTTTTTAACAACATTTTGGGAAAAAAAATAAGGTATTGATTTTACTCAGTTTTTTTTTTTTGTGAGGAAGATCAGCCCTGAGCTAACATTTGCCAAGCCTCCTCTTTTTTTGCTGAGGAAGACTGGCCCCGGGCTAACATCCGTGCCCATCTTCCTCCACTTTATATGGGACGGCGCCACAGCATGGCTTGCCAAGCGGTGCGGCGGTGCGCACCCAGGATCCGAACCAGTGAACCCCGGGCCGCCGCAGCGGAGTGCGCGCACTTAACCACTTGCGCCACCAGGCCCGCCCCAGATTTTACTCAGTTTTAAGGTGCAATTTTTCAGTTTTTAAGATGCATTTTTTTCCTTCACACTTTAATAAGTTAGGATGTATCTTACAGGTGACATGGACTTCAATTTGATGGGGTTTATCTCCTCCTCTCTGAAAAGCTGTTATTAAAGGAATGGTGAATCTTACAATCAACAGCATCTGTGAATTAAGGAAATATGGTAACTGGTTCTTACTTGCTGCAGGCTGCTGGCTCAGGGTACTATGCAGAAAGCTAATCTTTTGTTCTGCAAGCAACGCATCACAAATCAGACATCACCTCATTTTTTCTATATAGTTTGAAACTCTAGAAATTGTTATGGTTTATTTTAAGAATATTTTTGCTATAAATTTGGAAAAACATTCTTATTAAGAACACAAAGAAAAGAGATATTTTCATTTTCAATTAAACAATCCATTTTCATTTTTTAAATTTTGAAATAACAGACTCAGGTTTCCAAGCTGCTCTATTGGGCCTTGGATTCTCTCCCTTTGCTTTTCTCCCCTTCATCTCCTGCATTTCTCACTGTCATGATTTCTTCTAAGTTTAACTGTTTTTCCCTCAGTTCACAAAATGCAACATGCTAAGTCTATGATTAACATACATATATATGTGTATATATATATCTATTTTGATGTCTACTTTCATTTTTTTCTTTTGATCTTATTTACTCATTTTTTCCTATTTACGTCACACATAAATTCCCATTTCTCTGCATTTTTCCTCATTAATTCTTTATAAGACCCATAAAAATAAGGAAGATCATGGTCATGGATAACGGGGTCATTTCTCTTCACTCATCCAGCGAAATGATTTACCTATAAAATGTACATCCGTGAAAACACTCCGTCCGTCTTACCTGAGAATTGATGATGCGCATGGTGGTTTTATTTCCAACGTCTTTCTCATAGCCACGTGTAGGAGCAGAGTTAAATCTCAAAACTGCATCATGAGAATCTAAGGGCACATAAGTGACAAACTTATTTTTCTCTGTAGAATCAACATAATCTAGAAAAAAAAATGTTCAAGCAAATCTTTCAATACTTGAAGCTCACTACATGCCACCAATAAAGTTAAGACACCCATAACCAGTCTACTGTTTATGTAGAATGAGATCCTGGTTAGGGTGGCAAATCAACATGCGAACATACAAATCCATTACAAGTGGTCCTATCTCATCTCAGTTATATTTAGATACTTATACGTTCACATTCTTTACAGGTGATGTACTTTATGCAGCCATTCTCCTGAAGATTCCAAAACATTCTGAAGATGGAATCTGTGGGAGCAGGTAAGGATGCTGTAAACAGGGGCTGCCCATCTGCAGCTTCTTACTGCTTGTAGAGCAGAAAGGCTGCTCATGGAGCCTCGAAGGCTGCTGCCTGCACCAAGATCAAGTGTGACTCGCACACAGTAACAGCCACAGCCTTCAATGCAACTTTATCACTTTTGGGTACTGGTGTGTGTTTAAAAAAGAAAACCAGCCCTGACTTCCGTGCACCTTTACATACTGCTGACGATGCCACGAAGACTCACGTGCGAGCAACCTTACAGCATTCTGTACTCCCAGCAATGGTCTGACTTAGAGCCACAGCCCTGGAGGATGGGAGAGACCACTAGAGGTACCGGCTATCAAGGCTCTTGATGAAGTTCACTGAACTTCAACTACAACATACATCTCTGTCTCTCTTCATTCAACTTGACAGTCAGACTTTCCCAAGTTCTCTGAGGTCCCAGGTGAAAACAAGGCTCCCATTTCATGGAGGATGACAAGGAGACGAGCAGGAGGTAGAGGAAACTGGCCTCACTTGATTAAAGCATGGGAATGGGTGATATGTTCCCTTTCCACAAAACAGTCTATATGCATACATATGTCTCAAAATTTCCTGAGCCAGCTAAAGTGTCTCCTAGAAACCAGCCTGAAACCAGAGTTGATCAGCAATAAGGGAATTTCTACGGGCTATCTTGAGCTTCAGAAATTCCATGCACATTCCAAGTTCAACTTGGAGCAACGACAATGCCTGTTTGTGAGAGAGTGAGAGGTGAGAGGTGGGATTGTGTTTCTTATTTGCCAAAGAGCCTGTGGATACACCCTGCATTTACCATGTCCATACCTCACACAAGTCCCTAAAGCAGCTCGCCTTCTTCACTTGCGTTCTGCTATCCCCTCCTGAGGAGTCTCCTTAGGAGAGATAGTCCCACTCCCTAAGTAGCAGAAACTCTGCAGGCATGCCACCATCAAAAGCACGTTACAAAAGGTGCCTCTTTTGACAAGCCCTGAACTCAGAATTCAGATTCCAGTTTTAAGCACCATAACACACTTCTGGAACACAAAGAATGCAGAAAGGGTACCTGGCTATATCATCAAAAAATCCTATAATGTTCTCTTAGGGGAAATTTTGCTATGACCTGCCACCTGTTTCAGTAAATAAAGTACTGCCACACAGACACAATCGTTTGTGAATCTATTGTCTGTAACAGCAGACTTGAGTTGTAACAGAGACCCTGTGGTTCACAGAGCCTAAAATATTTACTACTTGGCTCTTACAAAAAAAGAGTTTGCTAATCTCAAGATTGTAGGTGATCTACGCTTTGCACATAAATGATGCCAAAAAACCTGAACACTTGCGATTTTCTTTACTTCACAATTTAAGCACTTGTTCACACTTGTTTTGTATGAATTGTTTTATTATTTATTTTTATTGAATAGTATTTCGAATGATATTTGAGCTAGAAAAATTAGATTACCCAAATCAGTGGTTCTCACTTTTTGCTCTCAGGACCTCTTTACACTCTTGGAAATTACTGACAACCCAAAGACCTTTTGTTTATTTGGATTATATTTTTCAATATATACCTTATCCGAAAGCAAAAGAGAAAATTTAAAACTGTTTATTAATTTATTTTAAAATAACATCTTTTTATGAAAAATAACTATATTTTCAAAAAATAATGAGAAGACTGGCACTGTTTTAAATGTTTGCAACTCTCTTTAATGTCTGGCTTTTCAGAAGACAGGTGGTTTCTCATACCTGCTTCTGCATTCAATCTGCTGCAATATATTGCTTTAGTTGAAGTATACCAAGACTCAGATATATCGTTGAAAATGAAAGGAATATTTTAAATCTTTCCAGATTACTGGCAATATTCTTCTTTGATACTTCATCAAAACTTGACAAGTGTTAGCTTCTTAAAAGTTAGTATCACTGAAATATCAATGAAATTTTCATGCTCTGTTACATTAAAATCCATTAGTTTCTCTTGCTCTTAAAATGGATGATTCACCCCATGCATAATTTTGTTACGTCATGCAATGATATTTGGAACTATCAGCTCAATAAGTTACTCAGATCTTCCAAATATTGAGGGATTTCATTATAAAGCATCAAAAAATCACATCAGTTAATATTACCATGGATCTCATCTGTTTTTAAGTATGGGAAGCTCCCAAGCTCATGGTGGAAAGCTTGATTTTTATCAGTGGCAACAAATACTATCAGTTATTTTCCTACAAGTGACGGCCTCACTTAATTCCTTTCTGAGAAAATAATGTCCAAATATCCAAGTCTGAATAAAGTATGTCTGTCTGTCATTTGTTTCAAGTAAAAATTGTGTTTCATGACAAAAGTGGCTAGTTCTGCTCACAAGTCAACCACACAGTGCTTCTCCATTGTGCCAATGTTGGTATGCAGAAGGGCTTTTCACTGTATTGCCCACTTTGTCTCAAAAACATGCGTACTCCAAGACTGAGATTTAATGAAACCAATAATCTTTCCTGCTTCATCAAGGACATCCGTAAGTGAAACCGGCACCCTTTCCTCTTACTGCTGTGCTCGGCAGTGAAGTGCCAGGGCAACCAGCACCGCTGGGCACTGCTGGGCACCGCTGCTTTGATTTATATTAAGAAGCAGTTTTATCCACTAATGCTTTTGCATCATCAATGCAAATGTCAACAGTTATCAAGCCCTCTGCGTGTTATTATAAAAATAGTCTTCACCTTGTGAACCCCTGAAAGGGTCTTGGGGACCCCGATCATAAGCACACCATGCCATGTGAATTGCTGAACCGGGGCAACCCCCTGACAAGGCAGGGAGTGAGAGGAGGCTCCAGAGGGTGAGGTGACAGCCAGGTCCTCAGGGGTCATCAGGACAACAGCAGGGCAAGAAGCGTGACGCTCGTATGCCTAAAGCACAGCTCTCCCACTAAACCACGCTGCCCTCAGACGCAGCCCATCTAAAGGTAAGGCGAACAAGCCAAGGATCCCAAGCAGTGATGCATTTCAAGTTAATCAGATAGTAATTCCGAATTAATCATATCTCCCCTAAAAGTGTCCCAGGTTTTAAACGTCAGTGTTCCACAGTGAGGTGTGTTTTAAGCCTTTGAACAACTTCACCAAGCACCTGCCCAGAAATGTCATCTAGCTTATCTCCTTTGGAAGGGGTACAAGTCTGTAGAGTTAAAAGGCCAATTTCATAGCGGAGGCAGGGAGGTAGAGACGGAGGCTGTGGATGGAGACGGAATCTCCCTAAAGCTGGCAGTGAGCAGAACTGGATCCGCATGGGGGCGGCGGGGGGGGGGTGCATGGCGGAGGACGGCCTGAGAGTGTGTCTATCATGCAGACACGTTTTGTAAATGTATGCCTGGCTGTGCATCTCCCTGATAATGTGCCTTAAAAACTAAGCTGTCCATTAATATTTAGAAAAGAAGGAATGATCAGACAGCAGGCACAAGGGGAATAAAATAAAGCGTCATTTCTGGAGAAGACATTTCCAGGCTAGGTTTCACGTTGACCTTGAGAACAGAGCCAGGCTAAGTCCACTCACTGATGGGATATTAAAACCCTTCAAGGAGCAGCCAGCCAGGAGGTGCCCCAGCACTAAGTCACTGCCCTGCCTTAGGCACTGCACCCCACTCCTCCTCCTCCTCTTCTCCCGCACTCCTCCAGAAAATTAAATCTGAAACAGCAAGGGAGCAAAACCCTCCAGCCTTTAGGAAATGGCCTGCCAAACAGACGACATCTCTCTCCCGCCTCCACCGCCCCGCCTGTCGCTCCTTTCACGGGGACTCCTGCACCTTGACTGACTTCCTCCATGCCCTCAAGTCGAGGCTCTTGAGCAACCTCTCTAAAATGAAAGCTGACCCATCATCCACTCCTCTGCTTCAAAGATCTCGATGCCTCCGCACCACTGGCCCAGGGGTCATAGCCGGAGTTTCTGGAGACCCAGAAAGGGGTTCGAATCCAGGCTCTGCCCACTGTGCCTCTGCATACCTCCATTTCCTCATCTGTAAAACAGGAATAATCCTATCTGTCAGTTAAAGCTGCAAGGCTTACAGCAGTTAACACATAAAAGCATTTAGAACAGGACCTCGCCTGCAGTAAACACTCTATGAGTGGTACCTATTATTACAAGCACTTAGGGAAGCCTAATTTCCGTACAATGATGCACAAGAACATCCATGAGCTGACCTCTTGCCCACCTGTCCAGGTTCTCTCTCCTCCCACTCCCAGAGCCTAGTCCTCTCCGAAGCTCTCATCACCTGCACACCGCGTACCGTGCTGTTCCTCACCTCCCGGTTACGCTGGCCTCTGGTCTGGATCCCCCTCTTCTGAGCAGTCTTTGCTAACCCCCACTCTCTGCCCAGCCATCAGGCCTCACGGTGGGTTAGGATTCCGTTGTCACTTCTTCCCTGTCAGTCTACATATCTCTGCCCTCCTAACCACAATATTGGAATTGTCTGTTTATGATCTGTCTTCCCCACTAGACTGCAGAAGATTTGAGGTTTAGGTCTGTGCCTTATTCATCTTTGTGTCACTAGTGGCTAGCATAGTATCAGGCCTCAGAGAGATGGGGATCAATAATCAATGCTTGGTAAATGACTATATGATCTGATATCTCGCTTTTTTTTAGGTAAGCTATCAGGATATGCCAAACCCCAAGCCTGTACCACCAAGTGCTCTGTGCCCCACTCCCTACACATTCCCCTCTCACCTCATTCCCTACACGCTTTCCAGCATTTGAGTTCCAATTACACAGATCCTAATCTCTCCTCTCAAGGCTACTACTGTTCAGAGCAAACATTTCTCCTCTGTAGTGTGTTTCCACAGGACTGCTGCGAGGTGATCTCACTACCAAATTATTATTGTTTATATGTATGGGTGAAAAAACATCATCTCACGACTCTAGGAAACAATGTTCCATGTTTCCAAACAGTTCAGTTTGCTTTTCAACAACATATTCAAAGTGGAGGTGTTCACAACTGCTACACTGTTCTTCTCAAAAACTGCATGGTACAACTGTCTAACGGAACAGGGGAAACAGCAGCAACCTGCACAGGGAGCCTGAGGGCAGCCGATAAGCAAATCTGAGGTGCAACTGGGTCTCCCCGTCCTAGGGGGAGATTTGCTGAGCATGCAGGGACAGTTCAGCCTGGAGGGGGCCTCCAGCAGGGCTGATGACGGCTAGTCTCAGGTACCCTTCTAGCTCTGCCCTCAGTTTTTCATAAGACCATGACCTTTTTTAAGTCTTCTGATCTTCACTTAGCCAATTCACAAGTAGATATTCAGGGGCCAAGATGAATAAAGATAAATAGTAGTACAGCACGCTGCAACATTCCAAGTTGCCTGAAGGAATCTGCTCTGAGAATTTGTTTTTATTAAGAGAGTGGTTGACAACTGTGTGTTAATAAGCATGCGTACATTTAGGTGAGCAGGAAGGAGAATGTCGGCCCCTGGCCTGCACAAGTGCTGATGCTAAGAGATACCAGCTTATAAAAATGAAAGACTTTTTGTTTTTACAAATTGAACGATGCTACGGTCACATACTCTTAAAATGAAAGGTACAAAAATTAGATTCAAAGGAATCTAGGCAAAACAATAAAGATAATTTTAAGAAAACTTCTGAGTGTGTTCTGATTCTACCATTCTAATCATGAAGCTGCATGTAAGTGCCGACAATGTAAATTAAATTTGGATACTAGAAACTAACAAGGACATAACTGACACTCCACATTCCCCAGAAACGTGTAATCCCAGCGTGTTTCACACTCTCTTCCAAATTCTGAATGGAGTAGAGTTTACAAGGCTCTGGTCAGGGATATTTACGCCAGAATAAAGTGCAAGGGACTTCTCCCCAACGTGCATGAGCAATCCGAATATGCAGCTGCGATGCAGATGTTTAAACAAAGCAAAACAAAACCAGAAGCAAGTTACTGCCGTTAAAGCATAATACTTAATTCCTTCTTACGTTATTAACAACGGTCCTGGGAAACGAGCAAGAACTGTAGTGTTACTTCACCCCAGGGACCTCTAAACCACTACTCTCTCCTCATCAACTGCAGGCTGCCCTGCTCCGGCTCTGGCCACACGTGACACGTGGACGGTATCATCATGAGCCTGTTACAACGTCAGCACAGGGACGCTGGGACCCAGACCGCAGGCCCAGAATCGTGCCCTGTTTTTTTAACTTTTTAACAATTTCACACTCAGCCTCATTCCTAAGAACCTCTGAGATGAGGTCTGGGCTGTGGAGCCTGATTATAATGGCATCACCCTATTTCACGATGGCTCTGGAATGTCAGCCACTCTTCAAGGACACAGAACAATGAATGGGTCCAAGAAACAACAGCTACTCCTTTCTAACAAGTGGGCAATGCCTCCTGAACGCCCCTCCCAGATTAGTTAGGAGTTGACACCATCTATGACGAGAATGTGTTGGACACCGTTGCTTTACATCTGGACTGGAGCCCGAGGGGGTGTCTGGTTCACATTTGTTTTCTTGGCACCTAGCACAGAGGCTGGCACACGGGAAGGGCTGAAAACATGTTTGCTAAATGACGGAATCAGCCTAAAGGGCCCAGCTGCCTGCTCACTGGTGCAGCAACGGAATTAGCCTGGGCATACAGGAAAGTCTAAGGTCTTAAGGCAAAAACTGAAGTTTCCTGAGGAAGAAGGAATTCTGCCTCGTTTCCCACCTGCCCTGCACATTTCCAGCTTCAGACTGCAATATCCACTCGTACCTGAATCCCTAGACGTGCCGGTCCCCACCATCGCAGGAGCAAGTCCCTACAATACTGCTTTCTTTCTTTCTACACATATATCCCGTCAGTCTGTTTCTCTGGAGAGGCCTAATACAGGAACTATGAATCAGATGTCTTTCCAGGCTCTTGACATGGATTTGAAAAGAGTTCAGAAGGGAAGATGGAAGCCCAGGGTGTGGTCGCATTATCTACCGTCTTGGAGAAGGTCCCTGCGAGGTGCAGTGGCCAGGACCCAAAAGTTGGATTGGTGCCAAGGGGTGGGAGGTCAGAACCCATTGTTCGGACAGGAGTAACATTCTCCACAGGAGCCGGGCTCTCCTCAGAGCCCACAACACCGGTTTAATCCCTAGGTAACTACCATCATCATCATGTATACTTCTCTACGGAGTCGAAACCCCTAACCGTCATCGCCCCGTGGGAGCTCTGCTCTCCTCTCCCCTCCTCCTGCTCCTCTCCCACAATTCTGCCACACAGCGGCTTCACCAGGCTCCGCGGGCCAGGCTGGGAGCCCATCAATGCACACCAGGGTTTCTAGGGGACGTGCATTCCGGGGCAGGGGCAGTGAGAACCCCGCGGCCGCAAAGGGCGGGGCGCTGGCCTGCCACTCCCCCGGCTCCCAGCTCCGGGGAGAAGAGCTCTGCTCCCAACTGCCCCAAACGACACCCCTGCTGGGATCCCAACCGGGCTCCGTCCCAGCGAGGGAAAGCCCCCGAGGACCCTCGGGCCAACGTCAGACGCATCCAGCGCTGGACCCCCGGTCTGCCCCGCCGGGAGCTCCAGGGGCCAGCCCGCTGCCGCGCGGCGCCCCCGCGAGCGCACCCACCTATCTCCGGGCCCAGGGAGGAGTTGAGGATGGCGCCGGCCGACATGACCACGGCGCAGCTCCGCAGCCCGCGCGGGTGCAGCCGGCCCAGCGGCACGGGCGGCACGAGGCGGCGCCAGCCGAGCGCCGAGAAGGGCGGCTCCGTGCCGTCGAGCGTGCGCACGCGCACCCGGCGCCGCAGCTCGCACAGCAGCTCCGCGCGGCCCCGCCCGGCCGCCCGCCGCCCGCGGAAGCGCACGCCGTGCTTGTTGGCGCTCAGGTAGTCCCTCATGGCCTTCTGCAGGCGCGGCGCGAGCATGCGCGCCGACACGGCCCCCTGCCACAGCCGCTGCAGGAAGGCCCGGGACATGGAGGCGGACGGCCGGGCGCCGTCGTCGCCCTCCTCCAGCGCGCGGCTCCGGCCCTGGTGGTGGGGCCTCTTCCTCACCCGCCTCCTCTGGGCCTGGCCCGCCGGCAGAAGGCCCTCCGGCCGGCCTGGGTCCTCGGCGGAGAGGGACCCCAGCGTGCCCCGAGGGTGGCCGTGCGACTCGGGCTGACCAGCAGCAAAAAAGTAGTCGTCGTCCTCCGGGTAGAAGGCACTTTGAGACTTCCTCCCGATCTGGGATGACAAGAACTCTGCTCTGTTTTCAAACCCATCTTGCACCTGGGCCCATTTCTGCAGGTCGCCGGGCCCCCTGGGCAAGGGGCCAGCCGGGTGTCCCTGGAGCAGCCCGTTGTTGGTGCCCACGCCGTCCGGCAGGGAGGGCTCCTGCGCGGCGCCCATGATGGCCCTCTGCTTCCCCTGCAGGGGCAGGAGCCTGCGGGTCTCCAGGAAGGAGAGGGAGCTGGGCGCAGGCTCAGCAGGGCTGCTGTCGGTGAAGTAGATGAAGATCACCACGAAGAGGAGCCCCCACGCAAAGATCCCGCACAGCATTCGTTGTCTCCATTGCTTCAAGTGTGGTTTCATGGCAGGTCTCTGGGGTCGGCACCTGAGGTCCTAAAGCGCTGGGAGGTGGAATGAACCTGAAAAACAGCCAGGGCTACAGTTAGCCAACGTGGGACACCTGCTCAGACATGGCTGGCGACCGTCTATCTTGAGCAGTGATTCTCTAGGGGAGGGTTAGAAGGGGCATCAAAACCAGGATTATCCGGGAGCTTTGGCTAAATTCACATCCCCCCCCACCCCAACCTCTGGAAAATAAGGGGCCTCCCCATCTCAGCTAAGAGCGTTGGTAGAGAGGAGGCGGAGTGGGTGTGTATTTGGAAAACCTGTGGAGATAACTCAGTGACATGTCTGACTCCCCACCTTGACAGCTGCTTAATTGGGGCCCATCCCAACCACCTCTCCCTGCATCTGGGTTTCTAGAATTCCAGTTTGGTAAAGCAAACCAGGAGAGATAAGCAGAGTTTGCCCTCTTTTACCTGCTCATCAGACCACCAAAGGCTCAAAGCTCATATACTGTACAGCGGCACTGCTGTGCGTTTCTAAGGGGTGACAACCGTACCTGATTTTTCATGGTTTCCCCCAGGCCCAGGAGGCTGCCTGGAACATACCAGAAGTCCACCTATAGTCCTAAGTAAGCAACGCTTCAGTGACTGTGGCTGCAGGCGAATGTTATGCCAGGGTGTCTGTGGGCTTCAACAATAGTGCTCTCAAATAATGCCCTCCTACTTCATCCTCACTATGAGTCTCTGATGGAGTAAGAGGGAAAGCTGTTCAAATTTTAAATAAGGGAGGAGATGAGAGAGCTTGCTGATTCTAGATGAGCCTCCAAGAGAGAAAGGGTGACACAGGAGGCAGAGATGAAAAGTATAAGATAGAAGGGAAGAGAGAAGTAACCTCTCCTTCATACAGTGTCACAGCCATATTTACTGCTATGCTGCCATGTGGGAAGCACAGTGCCTGGTATTTAGGGAAACACTAAAACATTAGTAAGTAATGCACCTAACCTTCAGGAATGTAAGCAAAGCCCCAGAAAGGGAAAAACATAAGGCATGTTCGTGGAACAATAAATGAGCTTGCTGGGGCTTAAGGCCGAGCACTGTGCCCGGCACAGGCAGGCACTGCAAGATGACATGAGCCTGTGTGTTTGTGTGTTGGGGGTGGGGGCTGTGTGTCTGCAGGCGTGCATGGCTGTGTACTGGGGTGATGGGGTTGGACGAAGAAGGGACATTTGGGGAAAACTTAACTGGAAGGCCTACTTGGATGTCTGGGCCATGTGCTGTGTGAGAATGGGGGGTAGTACGTGCTGGGTGCATGGGCTCTCAGGAGATTTCTTTGTAGCAGGGAAGGCAAGGGCAGGGAGGAGTGCAGGGAGGCCACCTGGGGTCAGAGGGGGTCACTAGTAGAAATGGGACACTCAGAAAGTGGAGTCTGGCGGGAGGAGCTTGCAGCAAGATCAGCGACTCGTCCAGTCCCTCCAGCGCGGGCTGACCCATGCCACCAAAGCAAAAAGGCATGTAAGGTGTGACCACATGCCGTGGCTGGGCTTTTACTCAGATAGGACTGAAATGAACGCGAGCAATCCCTACGTCAGTGTAGTTGCTGTGGGAGGCTATGCACTGTCTTTGGTGGGAAAAGGGATATACCAAAGTAAGAAAACCACATTTGCTTTGTGGCTCTGCAGGTGATTAAGGATGTACACAGATTCTTTGACCCTCATCCCATGGAGAGACGGGGTCTATGTCTCCTCCCCTTGAATGAGGGGAGGGATCTGTGACAGCTTTGATCAGTTATCAGGCCCAGGTCCAGTGGCTTCCAATTCCAGCTTCTTAAAACACTTACTTTGGGGGAAGCCAGCCACCAACAGAGACGCCTCTCTAACCAGAGTCCACCACACAGTAAGAAAGCCCAAGCTAGCCCTGTGGAAAGGCCACACACTGCGAGATGCCCAGTGAACCCCGAGCCGTCCCTGCCGCCCCAGACCCGCCACCAAACACGAAGAATGAAGGGGCCATCTAGGATGCCCAGCCCAGCTGAGCTTTCAGATGGTTCCAGCCCTGGCCAACCTCTGGCTGCAACTGCAGGAAAGACCCCAAGTGAGAACCGGCTGAGCCCAGGCAATCCACAGAACACGCATGATAATGACAGACTGTTGTTTTCAGCCACTAAGTTTTGAGGTGACTTGTAACATCAGAACATCACCGGAACAGGCTCTAATAGTAACACCAGAGGAGAGGTGCCCCAAACAATTCCCACAATTGTGGCATCCTGGAGAGGAGAGTCCAGCCTCTCAGAGGGATTCTATGAACAGCAACAGTCACTTAAGTGTGTAATTTGTGGCTTTTTAAAACGTGTTTGCTTTACCTTGTCTTCACATGAAAGCAAGGCTGTAGATTTCAGTCGTAAATCAAACACACGTATACAGAACATGCTTTCACCAAGTCAGAAACACTGATGCCAAGAAAGAAACATGACAGAAGTAATACCCACAGTTCACTTGCCATGTGCCCAACCCCATGCTTACCACTTTTCCTGGATTATCTCCTTTGGTCTTCCCACCACCTAATGAGGTAGGAAATACTGCTATAATCATTTTGTAGATAAGGAAACTGAAGCCCAGAGAGGTTAAGTAACTTGCCCAAAGCCACAGAGAGAGCAAGCAGCAGATATTGCATACAAACGCATCTGCTTGATTCTAGGGCTCATACTTTAACACTAAGTTCTGGTTCCATCTCATCATACCAACCGAGGATATGTGCTAAATAAGGCTTCTCCAACTATCTGTGGTGAAGGATCATGTTTTCCCAAATTGTCACAATCTGCTACTTTTGTATCTCCATTCCTGACCGTGTTGGCAAAGTCCAATTGCTGTAAATGTTTGTAAATGCTTACTGTCAAGTTCTGTACACACCTCATCAGGAACTGGTAATGAAGGGGACCACACTTTGAGCAGAATCTGCTAAATGACCTTTCTGAAACTGTCCGCTCAGGAGATAGTGCTTCAAACTCTAATGCCCAACCCGAAGATCTAGAAGCTGCTTCCAGTATTTCAACATTTCTACTAGAAATCAGAAAATTACCCTTAATAACAGTTATTCTGCTTCCACCCCAGCTGAGCACACTGCAGTAGTTCCCACACTAACCACCGGAGCTGGCGCAGCCTCACGACTCGAGCCTCAGTCTCACAGGACTGTCCCCACTCCAGACACCAGCCCTCAGTGGGTCCCCCGGCCACCTGCACGTCTGACCGTTTGGGTGCCAATCTGGGAGGGTCCCATGACACCCTTCAGGTTCCATAATTTGCTAGAATGACTAATAGAACTCAGGAAAGCACTATACTAATTATATTTCTTTTGTAAGGGACACACGTAGTTCAGGGTGTGGGTCAGGAGAGTCCCAAATGCAGAGATTCCATGCCCTCTCTCCCCCTGGTGTCAGGGAACACCACCCTCTTGGGACATCGATGTGTTCACCAACTAGAAAGCTCCCGTGAGCCTTGGCATCCAGAGTTTTTACTGGTGCTTCATTAGGTAGGCATGATTGATTGAATCATTGGCCATGTGACTGAATTCAATCTCCAGTCCCCTCCGCTCCCCAGAGGTCAGGCTAACCCAAAGGCCCCCAGCCTCTAATCCCACGGTTGGTCTTTCTGGTGACCAGCTCCCACCCTGAAGCTATAGGGGCTCACCAAGAGCCACCTCATTAGCATAACAAAGACATTCCTATCAGGAAATTTCAAGAGTTTTAGAAGCTCCATGCCAGGAACCCAGAACAAAGATCAGACAAATAATTACACCACAACGAGGCTGTAGTAGCTAATTTAAAAGGCAGCCTTTCTGCTTCAGGCTGGAAATCCTCATTAGCTGGCTACCCTGCCCTGAGCAACAGCTCTAGGGGCTTATTCTGGTGGATTACTCAAGAATGGGAGGTTTCTTATTTCAGCATTTGCTTGAGAGACTATTTTTAAAACACAAAGTCAAAAGGTGAGGTGTGTGCAGAGTTGCAGGAAGTGCAACAATGGAAAGGAAGCCTTGCTCTGTAGGGAGGACTGAAAACCTCTAGCCCTGGGGCTCGGAGCTGGGGGCCAGTGCCCTCCGAGCCAGATGACCCTTAGTTGCCTGGGAGCAGCAGAGTCAGGAAGCTGTGAAGCCCAGAGTGGAGCCGAGAAAGTGAACCTGCTGTATCTCATGGCAGGATTCAGAGTCATACAGACTTCATTACACGGAAACGCCTAGTTCCCAACTGAAGACATGCGGAGTCTTCTTTTTCATGGGGAGATGACAGACATGAAAGGGAGGGAGAAGAATGAGAGGAAGTCTGGGGACACAAAGAAAGTAAAGGAAAAGCCTAGCAGGACAGAGGGGGCTGCTGTGGGGCCAGGACCCTGGGACAGTTTTATTCTCTCTGCCCAGTCTGCTGGGAGGTGGAAAGGGTGGGATCTGTGAAGCTCTATGAGCACTGTGCGAGGATTAAGTATCACAGTGCAAAGAATGATGATTTTTCATAAGGAAAGACTGACGCAACTCCTAATGCACAAGAATAACAGAAAGGAGTGGGCTTGCTGCCTCCGCTCAGGATTAGGCTTCAACTCTTAATAATCCAAATGCCTTCCCTGAAACCAATGTCGCTGCAAACCTTCTGTTGCCAATTAAAGCAACATTCTCCAAACTGGTTAAATCTCAGTGCAACAGCAAATCCTCTGCTAGCAGAACGCTACAGAAATCATTATACGCATGATGGGTCCCAGTCATCCGCAATTTGGTGAAAATCCAGGTTAGAGAGAGGGGAAGGACATCATCAATGTTATAGCCATTCTTTTCTTTAAAATGACCATAACGCCTAACAGGAAGAAATGTTTGGCTAAGCAATAGGAAAAAACACATTTTTTCTCTATTATTGTACATCTGAATATTATAATGATACAGCTTAAACAAAGTCATGTCTGTGATACTTGTTGCTGTATCCCTTCACTAGCTGGGGTGATATAAACCGCATCAGGGAGATGTAAGAGGCCCATCAGCCACATCATCTGTCCCCAGGCGCCAATGAAGATGTGCTCGCTAATCATATGCTCACGTCG